GTTATCATAAAATCTAAAGAACAATTTGTTGCGGTACTTGTGACTTATCTTTAAGAAGCGCCGGTTTCTTAGGTAAACTATCTTCTTAGATGCATCCAGGAACACCCATGTAGTACCATCCAAACAAACCAAGCATCCCATCTTCCCTTTGATCTATCAAGACAAAGCAAACAGCGCGGGGTAATCATTGGTAGTAACAAATATTATTGCTCTACATATGAAGTCCTCCTTTCGAAACGCATCGTACATCGGCTCCCCATGCCTCCATAGCATCTCTATTTCTTGCATCAAAGGCTCGAGGAACATGTTTATATCAATGTCTAGTTGTTTAGGGCCAGAAATAAGAATAGTGAGAAGGTATTTTCTTTTCTGACACAACCACGTTGGGATGTTGTACATGGTCAAGATCACTGGCCAAGTGCTATGGTCGCTCATCTTCTCATTGAAGGGATTCATTCCATCAGTGCTCAAGCCAAACCGTACATTCCTTGGGTCATCGTTGAATTCTTTGTGCTTCTCATCGATCCTTTGCCACTGACTACAATCAGCCGGGTGTGCAATCTTATCATCATCCACCTTGCACTCATCATCCCGCCATGTCATGAACGCGGCTTCTTTAGGATTTAGGAAGATACGTCTCAAGCGGTCGGTCACTAGCAGGTACCGCATTACCAAGGCAGGAATGCTTCTCTGCTTTTGCATCGTTGCCTAATGGAGTATCCTCTAGGGGCTGAGATTCTTGTGCCACCTTTTTTGTACCCTTCTTATTCCTCTTTTTCCCCGTGGAGGCTTCGCTCCCACCGTAAAGGTCATTGTTCTTGTACCGGCTGGCCCCACACCGGGGATATTTATCCAGTGACTTGAACGTTTCGCCATGAAAAAAGGATACAGTGGTTGGGGCATGTATGGATTTTTTCAACCCCCATTGTCAATGGACTTATGACCTTCTTTGCTTGGTATGTGTTGGCGGGAACTGAATTTGGTTGTGGCAGCACCCATGACAGGAGACGCAATAGATCATTGAAACTACAGTCTGACCAGCCGTACTTAGCCTTCAGGATGAGTAGCTCAAGCACAAAATGTAGCAATGTCCAATGTGTCGGACAGCCCTTTTTAACACCATACACAGTCTCCTTCGATGCTTTTGTCACCCTTTCCAAAATTTCTAGACCTTTCGGGCTCTTTAATAAAATCTCTAGTCCAAGGGCTCGAATCATGTCCTCCAAATCATCTTCATCCCCGACACGTGCTCTACCATCATTATTGGCACCACCTTTGTTGTTACCATCGCAACCACCAGCATCATCACCTTGTTCATTGCCAAACTCGGGATCCATTCGTGCATCAAGCACTGCTGAATATTGGGACAGGGATTCTAGGGTTTCATCGTCGTATTCCTCCTCATCCTCGTCGTTAACAATAACCGTTTCACCATGATGAATCCACGCTGTGTAGTCCTCAATAAATCCTCGCATAATCAAATGTGATCTGATGATAGTCACATCTGTCCATGCCATATGGTTCTTGCAATCTTTACAGGGACAAATAATTGTATCTTTATTCTCTATCAATGTTGTTGCATGCTTCTCTGCGGCTTCAATAAATTTATTTACCTCTTCATGGAAACCTGCCTTGAACCTTAACGAACCATACATCCAAGAGTTCATGTACTCCATCTTTTACAACAATAACAAAACAAACATTAAAGGACTACTTATTCATATATATATATAAATGAATCAAATTAATAATTACTTGAGAATAATTGTATATACTTCAGATATATATGAATATAAATCAAATATAATTATATGAAGCATACAAACACACCATGGTAGAGGAAAATTAATTAATGGTCCATTTATCCATAAGTAATTAAAATACATATTTATTGATTATAATAAACAATTTCAAAGACAACAATTATATTTTACCCAATATTTTTCATACAAACCCTAGTCCAATTTCATCAAACATAAATTTACAAAAACAAAATTAATAAAAAAACCAAACCCTAAATCTAGATCTACATGCACATGAAACATCCATAAAACTAACTAATTGTTCACTAAAATCAAGAAACATAGACCAAATAAGGGTATAATCTTGTTTCGCTACCTAATTTACCATAGTACATTCAAAACTTGGGTCTAATTTACTTCATAAGTAGCTCAAGCACCATAGAAGAGAGAGAAAATCAAAACTCTAATTACTCACTAACCAACCATTAAAACTTCAAAAAAAAGTGTGGAATAGCATTTTCTTACCTTCTACAACCTCTCCAACAAAGGATTTAAGACCAAAATCTTCTCCCTTAGTAGAGCAATTTTTGAGAGGTACCCAAGGCCTCCCTACCTTTTTTCATGGGTCGGAGTGAGTGACCCGAGGAGGAAGAAGGGGGCTGCAGCCATTTATACAGCGGACATTTGTAGGGACGGCTGGAATCATGGGACCCGAGCTCACCTACTGTAGGGGCGGTTGGTAGTGGAGCCGTCTGTAAAAAAAAGCCCCATTGCTAAAAATTGTTTTTGTAGTAGTGTTGGGCTCAACAACCAACAAGAAAAATCATGAAGTTCCTCAAGTCCCAAACAAATATCTTCCTCTTTTTAGAGCACAATAAAAATCCCTGACTCCTAACTTTCTATAAATACCTCTCACCAGCCTCACCCTCCAGTTTGTCATTTCCCCTATGCCAAGCCACCTATGATCCCTCTCTCTTTCCCTGCTTGCCAAGAACTGCCAGTTGCCACACACAGCCTCGGCCTCGCCTCGCCCCTCTGACGATCTGAGCTTATTGAAGCCATGAGGCCGGCACCAACAAGTGTTTCCAGGCCCACGTCAACGTCGACGACTTCGTCGGCAGCACCACCGCCACCGCTGGCAAGGATTGCTTGATCATGGTGGCCTAGAGGTCACCCAATCTCAAAGATAAGATGTCATGCCCAAGTTCATGAATTTATCTCTCTTTTCTCATGCTTTAATTGATTTCTATAAGCTTGAAGTGCCTGTTAATTGGGAGGGTGGTGCCCTTTTCATCCGACCATATGCACCCCTTCTCTACGTGACACGTACAACCAAAAATGCATCCTTGTAAACCATATAACCAAGCAACCTTGTCATGCCGAAACCGGGCTAAAGCTGAATGTCTCCTGCTTTCCCGGGTTTAATTTGCCAGGCTGCAATGAGTACATCAAAACCCAAAGCGTTTCACACTTTTTTAATCACCACTGAAGTGCAAGCCAAAACTAGAAACACATGTAACCGAGGACTTAATTACGTTATCGAAAAAAAGAGGACTTAATTGCGATCCGAACCATGCATGCATCGGTTCGATTAACACTTCACAGCAACGGTACTTCACTAGCTAGGGTGTCGCTCGATCCATGATCTGGCCTATCTCAAAACATATCGTATATTGCCATGAAGTGGATGAAATGGGTGAAACTAAAGGTGCAAGATAAACATACTATAAACTATCCACGATATATTTTATCCAAATCTCAAATGTGCCGTGTTGGTTTCTGCGAGGTTCGAATATGTATGTACACGTCCTAATTATAATTCAAAGCGTGCTCTTATCATGAAACCATGCACTATGCAACCCAAATAATTAAGCAACGTTTTCTCTGCATGACCGAAGGAAAGCATCCTCTCTGATCCTTCTCTTGTCAACCCAAAATAATTAAGCAACCTTTTCCGACCAAAAGCTAGGTTAACAATTCACGTATCTCGCTTTAATATTCCATGGAATTGTGACAGTGCAACGTTTAAAAAAGATAACTATCACGCTTATGTGGTAAATAACATCTATATTTACAATCAATCCGATAAAGGATACCCATCGCACTTAAGTGACAATAACAGTTAGTTTCTAAGCAAACTATAGTAAATGGACCATCAATCTCTCACTTGGGGGTGGAGACTCCATCAGGACGTGCATGTCGGCAAGTTGCTCTAGGTCGACCGACAAACCTAGAATACCAACTTTGATCATCGGATCATATAATGAATAGCAAGTATATGGGTTAGAAAAGTAGGATAAAAGAGAAAACATGATAAAGTACATGTGTAGATTGGTTTTGTTCAGTTGAACTCTCCTCAATCGGCTATGACCCTTTATATTTGTAGGATCGATAGGTCTTACCTAGGTACACTACCACATACCTGAATATCCTTGAGGGCCGAAAACCCTCAAGGAAAGTCCCAAAACCGCCAAGGAAATCAATACTGGCGGCTAGCGCTCAAGGAATGGCTGCCAAGGGTAGAGAGATAGGGAAATAGCTGTTTCCTTGAGTGCCGGCCGTGACAAATCATTTCCTTGAGGGTTCAACCGCCAAGGAAATACTTAAGCGGTCAGATTTTTAACACCGCCAAGGAAAAGTAACAACACTCAAGAATATGCGTTTTCTTGAAGGTTGACGACCCCCAAGTAATATAGCTGGCCCCAAGGATATATATTTTCTTGAGAGTTAGCGCCGTCAAGGTAACACAAATGAACCGTCAAAACAATAGCTTTATCTGATGGCTCACACCCTCAAGGAAATAGAAATTTCCTCGAGGGTTTCGACCCCCAAGGAATAATGTGTTTCCTTGGCAGCTAACCCTCAAGGTAATGCATGGCACAGGAGATTAATTGGCCAAGAAAATATTGATCATTCATTATAAATGTAAACAAAAATAAATATCAGGATAGAGGCCACAATTAAACTAAACCAGTGCTAGATTAGATAACACATTCAATATCCATTGGTTCATTACATGTCCATTTTGCAAATATAAGACTTAGGTAGATAGCAACAGTGTATCATCCTACATGTCAGTAGGATAGCAGCACATACACAAGGCAAATACTACATACAGTTCATAAGGCAATATTGCACTTAGCAAAAGATCAGCCTAATATCATCTTAGTTCCTACCAATCAATAAATCCAAAAGAAAGTCCACATCCCATTGTGCAGCCACTTGGAGTTGTTGGAATTAGTTTGTCTGCATGCATAGTCACTGCTCAGTAGAGCGGTGATCATCATCACTTTGGGAGGAGCTGCTATCATCACCATCTTCAAGACAGCCATCGTCATCAATGTGGTCATCATCATCGTCTTCATGGGAGTACTGGACATGATCGTTGCCTTGATGGTAGCTATAGTCATCATCATCGCTTTCATGGTAGTTGTAGTCATCATCGTCGTCTTCGTCATCAGCGTTGTCGTTGCTGCGCCTTTCATCAACAGAATGAGAGCCTCCATGTGACCCAGTAGCCTGCAAAAGGCAATATTGAAATATTTTTGTACAATTCTGGAACATAAAAGTTTGGTCTTCAATCTCTAAGAGCCTACTATAAAGTATCAAATAACTGAGGGTTGTTTTGCTGTATTATTAAAACAACCTAGTATATGAAAACCCTAAAAAATAGGCATCTGCTAATCAAAGCTTTTCTTCACTACCTTACCATAAACATAAAACCTAAAAATGGCATTGTTAATCAACAAGAATCCACTTGTTCTTCTGCCACGAAACAATATTAATTCTCTAGATGAATTGTGATCGAAATAAAGAATATTAATTGCACAAACAAATTCAATAAATAATGTAACCTGATGACGATGGGCATCAAGGTCTTGTAGACGTTGAAGCAGTTCAACAGGTGGTTCTACACCTATCCGATCAAACACTCTACAATTGAAAGTATCCAAATGAAATTGTATGCTTAGGACACAGTAATTGCAGATACAATGAAAAAATTATTACCTTGAATAGCTTGTGATAGATTCTATTTTCCTTTTTCTTGTAGAACACTTTCATAATGATCAGGATCAGGTGGCCTACAGATACAGATTTGGAATGTGCTAGAACAATTGCCTTATCCACAGCACCATCATCTATTGGAACGCGGCCATGCTTCATGCCATGTCCTGTAGTGTACAATGCTCTTCCGTCCAGTTCTTGTGAATTTGCATCTAGAAGCTAATGCCATGTACTCATCCTAACATAGAAACAGGAAAATATATCAAAGGATGCCTCAATTTAGTTTACAGAATGAGCATACCAATCTTTTTTTTGTGCTTTCTAGCTAGGGATTGGAGCACTCCTTCCAGTGCTATCCACTTTTTTAACTCCAGATTTCATTGCAGCAAATGTGTTTATCCCACTCTGCGGACGGCCCAATTTAAATTCCTGTAAGATTAAAACCACAAATTATGCATGCGTCAGTTATAAGCAGCAAGCAGACATTGTAAGCTATAGATTATAAGTTGCAGAATTATAAGCTACACAAGAATTATAAGCTACATATTTCAACGGTTCCTAACTAAAATAGTCAAAACACAAGCATTTGTCACAACTAAAATAAGCTAGCTGCAAAATTATAAGCTGCAGATTTTTTTCAACGGTTCCTAACTAAAATAATCAAGACACAAGCATTTGTCATACCAAGAACTGTTGTCTCTGCAAAATTTCTAGAACCTCCTCTATTTTGAGCTGGATCATCACAACTCATGCGTGATTGTTGGCCTCTGCGTCTCTTTTCCTTGTACTCATCAGAAGTCCAGTATTTGGCAAGCAAGGCCCAAACTGCCCTGTTGCACCACTCCACCCAACAAGTCAAGTACTGTTCTTCTGTTAGTTCACTAGTGCAGGCTCGAGTATCATCGCCGTCTTCGTTATTTCTATGACACCATTTCTTGACAGCCTCCAAACGGACTTGGTACATCATATTAGTTACTCTCTTGACTAGATAGTTCTCTAGATTTTTTGCAGCACGTGCCCTATGCCGTGGATGAGATGTAAACGTACTCTGCATATGTAAGACAAGTCAAATAAATTACTGACCGCAAATTCTTTAATCTTGCTGAGTGAATATTCAATCCTTTTAGAATTATGCAATCAGGATGCAATGCACTAGACTGAAGAAATAAGAAATGAAGAAAAAATATTTAAAGAATAATCTGAATAAGTTAGTGTAATACCCAGAACTCCTGCTTCACTCTTGTCGCACAATAGATTCCTACTTTATTCTTTTTCCAATAATAATCATTCCATGAAAATGCCGGTTTTACTTTCACAATTGTGCCTTTCTCATCATATATTCTGATGATACCTGGGTACTCTCGCTTGAGAATAGTTCCTAACTGTGAGTGGTACTTGCAGCATTTAGGGTTATAATCAACATATTTAAATTGGTTGTTGTAAACAAGTCAACAAATCAATTATTCAGCTTCATATACAAAAAAAAATGTAGCAGAATGAAAAGAATTACAATGTTAAGCACAATTGATATCATATACTTACCAATGACCTATAGGTTCCAGCTGAACTCTACCACTACGTGGAGGTATTTTGTACTTGGTCCTGCACATTTTTGCTCTCCCTCTTTTTGGAGGATCCTAAGAGGACTGGTTGGAACCAATATTCAGTTGTAAGTTATCAAAGTTCACTTGTGAGTTACCACCTTCAACTCCAGCCATTTGAGAGTTAAGACCATTAGCATTGCTCCTTTGTGAGTTACTAGAAACATCTCCAACCATTTGAGAGTTAAGACCATTAGCATTGCTTCTTTGTGAGTTACCAACTATTTGAGAGTTAAGACCATTAGCATTGCTCCTTTGTGAGTTACCAGAAATATCTCCAACCATTTGAGAGTTAAGACCATTAGAACTGATCCTTTGTGAGTTACCAGAATCATCACCAACTGTTTGAGTGTTAAGACCATTCAAACTGGTCCTTTCTAAGTTAGCACCCTCAGTCCCAACCACTTTGGAGCTGACACCAGCAGCACTGCTCCTTGTAGAGTTACCACCATCAGGACTACATGCTAATTGGCCACCAGCAGCACTGCTCCTTATGAGGTTACTAGACTTCTCACCCTCACCATTGCTTGCAAACTGACCACAAGCAGCACTGCTCCTTTTGGTGTTACTACCTTGAGCTCTAGTCCTTCTAGTGTTAATTCTAAACTGCTCACCATCACCAGTACTTGCAAAGTGACCACCAGCAGCACTGCTCTTTTCGGGGTTACTAGCTTCAGCTCTGATCCTTCTAGTGTTAGGTTTACTAGACCTCACACCATCAACACTACAACCTGTTTGGGTGCCTCCACCTTTGCTGCAGCCTGCTTACTCGAAAGACTTTTGTGTCGAAGCCCATGCATCTCCTGTTTTATAAGGAAAACAATTAGTAAATTGCACATGTGTCAACCTGTCATGTTCAAACAAGTCTACACTAGGCGCCATAGGGCCCGAGATGTGCTGTGAGGAGGGAGCTAGAGACTTGCCAAAATGCTGTCTGTGGCCAGCACCAGCACCAGGCGTCCTCCAGCAAGTGGCTAGGAGGAAAGTAGGAGATCTATTAGCTATTTTGGTTAGTCCTTAATTAGTGGACTTTGTTACTCCTTTTGGTTGAGCCGGAGGCTATACATATCTTGTAACTGCGGACACTTGGCAATTAAGAAAGAATTACCATCTAATCTCTCTCCTCTCTTTCTACCTAAGCCGGGCGGTGGGGGCATAACCCACCGACGAGGAACGGCGGCACAGGGGGTATAACCGGCCGGCCACCACAGACAGCTGGCTACGATCTCGTGCCGAGGTCCCCTTCCCTTGGGCTCACCGCCTTGACAACTGGTATCCCAGAGCCGACGATCCTCTTCTTCCCACCACTCCCGGTCCTCCACAGCCGCCTCACCACCCTTCCACCACCACCACCATCCCTTCATCTCCGTCCACAACCACGTCGGTAGCCGCCAAACATGGGTGACGCCGATCCGCCCACCATGGTCGACATGATGAAGATGCTCCGCACTCGACCACCAACATGTCCCGGATGCAATCCGACATGGCGGGCATGCAGAGAAGCTCGATTCGTCCGAAAGTCCAAGCACCCACCACGACGGCCAACATCACACGGATCGCCCCCCGCGGTTCCGAGAAGATGGATTTCCGCGCTTGACGGTAAATCCGACCCACGATTTTTATTAATCGGTGTGAGTCGATTTTTCGCCGAAGAACGCACCATGCCGGGAGGAGAAGGTGTGGATGGCGTCATACAATCTGGAGGACGCGTGGCCCAACCGTGGTTCATCCAACTCCGGGAGGATGAGGGCACACCGCCATGGGGGCGCTTCAAGGAGCTCCTGAACCTTCGCTTTGGCGGTCTTTGCGGTCCGCCCATTGTTCGAGCTCTCCGAGTGCTTGCCGCCGACGGGTCGGTCGAGGAGTACTCCAACCGCTTCAGGCGCTCCTCCTCTAGCGCGGGCACGCCTCGAGGAGGCCGGTGGTGCAATACTCTACCGGCGGAGTTCTCGCCACCGCTTCGACCACCAAGTGCGCATCCACGCGCTTCAAACATCAAGCGGCGGCCATGAGTTTGGCGCGGGCCTCGAACTTCGTCGAATCGGACCGCCTCAACTCCACCCACGTCAAGCTAAGATGCAGGTTGCCTGCTTCCAGGTCCACATCCAGCCACCAGCGCCAGGCGTCTGGCGTCCCGCCAACGCCCATCACCCCGACCACGGCGCTCCAGACGCCGCCCGGCTCCCGGCGCAACCCACAGCCCTACCGGCGCCACCACCAAGGGGGTCGGGGGCAAGCGCCTCTCCATGGAGAGCAGCGAGCGAGCGCAAACTTCGCTCTGCTACAACTGCAATGAGCCCTACTCCCGCGGCCACAACAGAGTATGCCGCCGCATCTTCTACATCGATGGGGTCGTGCTGGATGAGGAGATACCCGAGGAGGAGGCGTCGGTCTACTCTCTACACGCCGTCGCGGGCGTCCCTGTGTGCGGCACCCTCCGCTTGAGGTGCGGTGGGCGCGGCCACGCCGCTGCTTATCGACTCGACACGGGCTCCACCCATCGCTTCATCGGCGAAGCGGCGGCCAATGGTCGGCTTTGCCGCCGTCCTTCCTCGGCCTCGGCTCGGCGGCGGCCGTGGCCAATGGCGAACGCATCTCTGTCCGGGCGTTCTGCATACCACGCGCCGTTGTCATCGACAACCGGCCGTTCGCGGATCGACTTGTACATCATGCCCCGCCGGATATGACTTAGTCTTTGGGCACCCAAAGGTGGTTGGCGACTTTAGGCGATATTATGCGGAATATGGCATGCGGGGACCATGGCGTTCAAGATGGCGGAATCAAAGAAGTTCGCTGGCGCAGCTGTCGCTCCGCCAACACCACAGCGCCTCCACTCTACTTCGGTGGCGAGCCCCTCTGGAGGAGCTGCTGCGCCGCGTTCGCCGACGCGTGTTCGCGGAGCCGCGGGGCCTCCCTCCCTCGGGTCGCGTGGCAGCGCGCACACCGCATCCTCCTCAAGCCCGCACCGCGAAGCGGTGGCGGTCTGACCCTACGGTGTCCGGCCGCCCACAAGACGGAGCTGGAGCAGCGCGGCGCGACCATGATCGCGACGGCATCGTCCGTATGCGACTCCGCTTTCTCCTCGCCGGTCCTCCTCGTCAAGAAGCCGGACAAGTCTGGCGATTCTGCGTCGACTACCGCGCACTCAACGCGGTCACGGTGAAGGACGCGTTCCCTATCCCCGTCGTCGACGAGCTCTTGGATGAGCTCCATGGCGCCAAGTACTTCACCAAGCTCGACTTGCGCTCGGGGTACCACCAAGTGCGCATGAGGCCGGAGGACGTACACAAGACGGCGTTCCGCACACACGACGGCCCTATGAGTTCCTGGTGATGCCGTTCGGCCTCTGCAATGCCCCGGCAACATTTCAAGCCCTCATGAACGACGTCTTGAGGCCATTCCTCCGCCGGTTTGTCCTTGTTTTCTTTGATGACATTTTGATCTACAGCAAGTCCTGGGCCGACCACCTACGACACCTCCGCGCCGTCCTCGGCCGAAGCTTCCACAAGACACCCTCTTCGTCAAACGCTCCAAGTGTGCCTTCGGGTCGCCTCTGTCCATTTCTTACCTCGGCCACACGATCTCGGCGGCGTAGGGTGGCCATGGACTCCTCCAAGGTACAGGCCATTCACGATTGGCGCGGTACCTCGCTCACTGCAGGCGGTCTGCGCGGCTTCCTTGGGCTTGCAGGCTACTACCGCAAGTTCATCCTCAACTTCTGGCTCCATCGCCACACCCGCACCACCGCCTCCTCAAGAAGGAGGGCTTCACCGGGGTCCCTGAGGCTACTTCGGCTTTCCTCACCTCGAAGGAGGCGATCACCTCGCACCGGTGCTCGCTATCTTGGGATTTCACCAAGACCTTTCGTGCCGAGTGCGACGACGATCGTCTTCGTCCACAGGTTTGGTCTGCATGTCCTCATCCAGGAAGGGACACCCCCGCCGCCTTTCTTTCTTGGCGGTGGCAGTCGCACCTCGACATCACATACAGCAACATATGAGCGTGAGCTCATTGGCTTAGTCCAGCGGTGCGTCCATGGCGTCCATATACCTGGGGCGCCCGCTTCACCGTTCGGACAGATCACTCAGACTTGAAATACCTCCCGGACCAGCCAGGCCACCATTCCATGACACCATTGGGTTGGCAGCTGCTTCGATTCGACTTCTCCGTCGAATACAAGCCGGTGCAACGAACGCGTCGCCGACGCTGTCCAGCGCGACATGCGACAGGCGAGGCGGCCGCCTCCTCTCTCTCTCAGCTTTCGATTTCATCACCAAGCTCAAGGCAAGCTCAATTGAACACCGGCACTTGTTGCTCTCTAGGATGAGCTAGCAATAGGCACCGCACCACCAGCCCCGGCGCTGGTGGACGGCATGGTGCGATTCTTGAAGCGGTTGTACATCCCGGTGACTCCCATTGCTCCGAGAGATCGTGGGGGCCATACATGAGGACGGCCATGAAGGCGTCTGACAGACACTCCACAAAGTCACAAGATTTCCATTTCCATTTCTAACATGAAGCAAGTTGTGCGGACCGGTGCGTACATGTGAAGTCTCGCATCAACGCTTCTAAGTCTCGAGCACCAAAGACCTGCTGGCCTCCTCCTTCCTCTGCACGGTTCCCGTGGTGTGTGTGGACTGATGTCGCGCTTCGACTTTGTGGAGGCGCCGCCACGAGTCCAGCGAGCAAGTCGGTAATCCTCACCGTGGTGGATAGGTTCGCAAATCGCCATTTCATCCCATTGGCACACCCGCACTCTCTCAATCCGTCGCCCCGAGCCTTCTTCAACGACATCGTCGAGGCTCCATGGTGTCCCTCGGTCCATGGTCTCCGGCCGACACGGTGTTCACGTCGTCGTTACGCAGGAGCTGATCAGCGGTTGATGGGCACCAAGCTACTGAATGACCTCGGCGTTTCACCCCAAATCCGACGGGCAAATCCGAGTCGGCCAACCGCGCGTCATCATCATGTACCTCCGGTGCTTAGTGGGGGGCAGTAGCGCGCGAATGGCTTCGGTGGTCGCCATGGGCGGGAGTACCTCTTCAACACGGCGTGCAGACGTCTTTGCGGGACACTCCTTCCGCATTGTCTACGGGCGCGTGATCCTCCTCCATCCGCTCCTATGAACACAGGGACACCAGGTGCCGGCCGTCGCCAAGACAATGGAGGAGCGTCGACGCTTCCTAGCGGACATCCGCTATCGCTGGAGCGAGCACGCAGGGCATACCGAAGCGCTTCTACGATCGCAAGACACCGAGAGGTCACCTGTCGGTGGGTGATCAAGGCCGCTTCCGACTCCGTCGGCGCGATGGCGTCGTCTCTACCTCAAAAGCGTGGGCGGCAAGTGAAGCCGCGATTCTTCGCCCATACTGCGTCGTCGAACTCATCAACGAGGTTGTTGTCCGGCCGAACTACCCCTCGCTACCGCAGATCCACAACGTGTTCCATGTGGGGCTGCTCAAGAAGTACCAAGGACACCGCCGACCGAGCCTCCACAACCGCCGCTACTTCACCATGGTGCCATTGATCCCGGCCGGAGCGCTGCGGTGCAGTGCAGGTGGCCCCCGGTGTGCATCAAGCAATCTGTTCGATGGAAGGGAGCTTCACCCTGCGTCGGCCACACAGGAAGACGCCGCCACACTCCGCTCAAGTTTCCCCAATTCCACTCGAGGACGAGCCGGCTCTCGACGGGAGGAGATGTCATGTTCAAACAAGTCTACACTAGGCGCCATAGGGCCCGAGATGTGCTGCAGGGCCAGAACGCTACTGCTTGGCATGTGGCTGCCAAGACTCAGGGGCGCCCTCCAAAGAAGTGGCTAGGAGGGAAAGTAGGAGATCTATTAGCTATTTTGGTTAGTCCTTAATTAGTGGACTTTGTTACTCCTTTTGGTTGAGCCGAGGCTATACATATCTTGTAACCTGACACTTGGCAATTAAGAAAGAATTACCATCTAATCTCTCTCCTCTCTTTCTACCTAAGCCGGCCAATGGGGCATAACCCACCGACGAGGAACGGCGGCAAGGGGGTATAACCCGGCCGGCCACCACGGACAGCGGCTACGATCTACGTAGCCGAGGTCCCCCTTCCCTTGGGCTCACTGCCCTTGACACAACCTTGATGCTATCTGTAGATACAGGCTTCTTGGTCTCAGGTGTCAAATTCCCTTTAGCAACTTCCTTTGATCCTAGAGACTTATCCAAAATTGGGCCAAATGTTAGAAGAGTGTCTTCCAGTGTAAGGTCTGATATGCAGAACTACCAAACATATGCATCGCATCTAAAAACATCGTCCTACATACCAACAGATCACGTGTGAATCACTTTTATTAGCTTCATTTTCATTACAGATTGTACAAGGTTTGATACAGAGAACTACAAAACATATGCAATGGATCTGAGGAGATGGTCTTACATATCAATACATCACTTGCATATCATTCTTATTTGCTTCATGGAATCTAGAGATTTATAGACCAATCCAGCAATGCAACTACTTTTGAACCAAAACTAAAATCAAAACAATACAATGTGCCCATCGCCAGGACTGACCTTGGAATCTGTAGGTTTCAAGTCCTACCATCAAATCAGATAAAAAAGAAGAAACCTATAGCAACTAAAAGAATGAACTTGAGGGCACCATCAAGCCTGAGGGCGGTATGCGTTGCGTAGCCCAGCAGCCCTCGGATCCAGGATTTTATCAAAGGGTATGCCACGCCAAAATTTTCACATACATTTTGGTAAAAATTCATTTATCAACTCAGAATATAATTGTAAAATTTATGACATAATTTGATATATAAGCAATAAAAATATGAGAATTATTCAATTCAAAGATTAAGCTGTAAAATTGCATGAACTACAATGTAAATTGTAACCGCCCACATATGGCCCAACCTTTTTTTTCTTCCCGTTGCAACGCACGGGCATGTTTGCTAGTTAAAGATTAAGTTGTAAAATTGCATGAACTACAATTAAATTGTATACCCTAAAAAAGATAAATGTAAACTGTAAACACATGTCAAACATATATGAATGTGCGATGTAAAGAAAAAAAATATAAACAGGATGAAAAGAAACGTATGCAAACTAAATGCTAACTAAGATCTAGCACAAGCAGAAATAAAAGATAAGAGAATATCTATATGAGTACTATGTTAAAATAATACTAGCATACAGACTAAATGCTAACTAATTCTGGTTGCAGGATACTTTGATCTCAACTGACAGCAAGGACCGGTAGTCAAGATCTAAAGGAGAAGGACAGAGGACGGTGCAGATGGAGAAGCTTGCCGGTCACTGCAACATGGAGCTCTTGAAGATGGCCATGTTCAGACCCGAAGAGACCTTCAGGCAGCAGGAACCACACCACTCGAACACAAGACACCTGAATTCAGGAATCTAGCTGCCATTCTTCTGCGCAACTCGTAGACTGTACCACATCTAGAAGCAGCTGGTGGGTGGCCTGTCCAGGCCGTCATCGGAGGCTCAGAGCTCAGTTGCCGGCATCAGGTCGGCCGCATGTAGGTGAATGTGCAGGCGCTGATCGTTTCATGCCCACGACAGACTAGATGAGTTCCTCTATACTATACACATGGGTGGATTGCAGGGTACCTGTAGATCGCCACTGGCCACCGACCGCTTGAGCAGGACCCGCCGCCGACCACGTAGGAGACGCCGCCTGCCGCGCAGGAGCCGCTGTCCTCCAGCGTAGGAGACGCCGCCCGGCCACCGACCGCTCAGGAACCACCGCCCGCCCGCGCAGGAGCCGTCGCACGAGACTCGATTTGGGAGGCAGACGGGGAGGGGGCAACTGGATAGGGTTGCTCGGCTGGGCACCAGGCGTGTGGATGGTTAAAAGGCCAGTGTTGGGCTTTTGTTTACATGCCAAAATCTAGCGCGGGAAGTTTTGGCGCCTTCGATGCGCGGCAAAGGGAAAAAAATTTCTTGACAGCTGGCACTCAAGGAAATCAGCGCTTCCTTAGTGTTCCCAAATACACTCAAGCAAATGCATATTTTTCATAAGTGTGTGAAATAACACTCAAAAAATATACATTTCCTTAGGGGTCTTTAGCCACCGCCAAGGTAATACATATTCCTTAGTGCTCAATCTCGCCCCTTAAGGAAATTGATGACCCTCAAGGATATTCCATTTTGTGGTAGTGGTAGGATTCAAAACACATACAAATTCCTTGTCAAAATACACCTCATAACTTAGATTTGGTTGGCAAAATTGGTTTGGCCGGTTTTCGAAATCGGCATGGCTTGTTTCCTCGATCTGTATGTTCAAATAGCCGTAACTCCTTCATCCGATTTCTAAATATTTTGACAATCTTGACAAAAGCTACGGATGGTTCCGTTCTACAATTTGATAAAGTTTATCAAAACCGAAACTAGCCATGCTTGGTTTCCTAAATCACCTTATGGTGACAATTTCGGTTGTCAATACTTCTTTTTATACTAAAACATGTGTATGAGTACACTGTGGCTAACATGACAGTGTACATATGTCCAGATACAACGTTATTGTATAATATTTTTTTAAGAAATTCAGACCAATCGTTCCTTATTATATATGAAAGGATTTAATTTTGAAGGGAAATGAAGAATAACGTGGTATTTTGCTTTTCCATATTTTCTGCAAAAGGTTTCTTTTTAATTCCCCCATTTCACGTTACGTTACCTGAAACGTACATGAAGCTGTGCTACTATCAGAAACAGCTCCCGGAAGATAAATAATCGAAGTAGAACAACTACACAGCCAAGCACTTTGCCAAAAAGATTTTCCCGGTCACGAATCATGTAATTTCATCCTTCTCACAAAACTTTTTACAAATCCTGACACGAGCTGCGATATTATTAATAACCAAACAAAATTTGGAGGAAGAGATCGAGCAGAAAGTTTCTCACGGACCGCCCTTTCAGTTTTCTCCATTAGCTGTGTTCACTTCACACCTGATCTAGCTGCCGTCCCCGTTCGGCGTCGGCGACCACACCGCTCTCCCCCTCCCCTGCTTTGCCGCGGCCCTCCTGCTCCTCCTCCTTCGTCTCCAGCGACCCTTCTCCGGTGGTTGTGGCGGCGGCGCTGTTACCGTGCGCTCGGCGGACGATCGGCGCGGCCAAGAACGTGGGCATCTTCTCCCCGGCCATGACGACGGCGACGAGGTCGGCGAACGTCGCGGGAGAGGCCGCGGCCGGCGACTTGGAGCCGTCGTCGTCGCCATCCGTGGCTCCGGGTCCGGAGGTGGTGGCCTCGCGGCCGGTGCCTAGGTAGTTGTTGAGCTTCCAGTAGGCGGAGCAGGCAAGGATGAGGAGCGCCAGCGTGATGAGGCCCAGCATGGCGGCCAGCCCGCCGAACAGGTACGGCACCGGCGAGTGCCACGGCGAGGCCGCCACTGCCGCGGCCGCCAATGGTGGCGGTGGTGCTGCCGGCGAAGTCGTCGACGTCGACGAGGGCCTGGAAACACTTGTTGGTGCCGGCCTCATGGCTTCAATAAGCTCAGATCGTCAGAGGGGCGAGGCCGAGGCTGTGTGTGGCAAGTGGCAGTTCTTGGCAAGCAGGGAAAGAGAGAGGGATCATAGGTGGCTTGGCGTAGTGGAAATGACAAACTGGAGGGTGAGGCTGATGAGAGATTTATAGAAAGTTAGGAGTCAGGGATTTTTATTGTGCTCTAAAAAGAGGAAGATATTTGTTTGGGACTTGAGGAACTTCATGATTTTTCTTGTTGAGCCCAAGTTACTGCTCAAAATAAAATAATGTTGCCATATTACTACAACCCGTTTCAAAATATTCAGCATTTTGTTTTTATCTACGGCAGCACTAGCGTCCGGACGTCCGGACACCTGCGTCCATCCGAATTGAACGCCCACGGCTGTTCCGCCCCGTCCGCTCGGATTTGTGTGCCGCCCGAGCCAGCTCCGTTTCCCGCGCTCGCATCAGAACCGCCGCTCCAGATCCGGTGCACCAACGCCCTCATGGACACCAACGCCGGCGGTCTACACTTGCAACATGAAACACACGAATGCAACATACATTTGAAACAGATGAAACATTTGGGACATACGCTTGCAACATGTGTGTGAAACATATGCAACATCCAAATTTAACTGCAACATGAAAAAACACTTACCGCAACATATGCCTGAAACAGCTGAAACATTTGGAACATACTGTTGCAACATATGTGTGAAAATATGCAACATCCAGATAAAAAATTATTGCAAATACGCCAAGAAATAGATGAAACATTTTGAACAAACGCTTACAACATACTTCTAAAACACTTGCAACATGTGCAACATCCCCAGATCTACTTTTGCAACATCCATAAGAAACAACTGCAACATAGTTTTGAAATGACTGAAACATCTGAAACATACATTTGCAACATAGGGGAGGGAAAGCCTGGGCCGGTCGATTCCAGTCGTCGGGGTCGGAGCCGGTGGCAAGCGGCGGCGCACGAGCACCACTACCACCAGCGCCACTAGTAACGGGCTTGGCTCAGCGGCGACGGTGGGGGATGGGAATGAGGAGCACCATGGCTGCCAGGGTGGGGGGAGCTCGGTCGTCGGGGTGAGAGAGGGCGCCGCCGGGGGTGGGGAGGGCGCCGCGCCGGGGTAGAGGAGAGCCGTCCACTCCCCTGCAACACCGTCACGCCACCTTCATGAATCTCGCCAGAGGCGAGTGGATCTCGGTCCTGCTCCATGGATCTCACGCGGGGTGGGGGAGAGGGTCGTCGAATCTGCAAGCGTTGGGGGCTCCCGGTGGGCGAGGATGCTGAGCGTTGGTGCGTTGCGGCAGGGGATGAGGAGCGCGGAAGGGATAGGGGCAGGAGCAGAGCGGAGCGGAGTGGAGCGAGGCATGTGGGAGTTGATTTTGTTTTTCTAGGCGAGCGGCACATGCTTGCAGCGAGTGGAGCGAGGCGTCCGGCCTTCCGGACGTCTTTATAGTAACATTACCGTTTTATCTAAGTAACATTACCGTTTTATTTTATCTAAGTACGTAAGCTTATATCTAACTTGACGGCGTAGACAGTATACATATTTTGCAACGAAAATATGAACAAAAACAAATAAGTAATTTATAGTTGATTTAATGAAGCCAATTTGATGTCCTAGATGTTGATGACCTTCTATAGGAACTTCTGATTAGGAAAAAGCTAAAACAATATTTCGCAACGAATGAAATAGTTCACGCCATCTTACTTGTAAGTTCTTGCTATTACTTATGGTCGTTACAATTTACAGTTTGCATATACACTATATTCAATATATAGAGTGAAGTACACCTTTCAACCTTCGGGTTGCACACTAGGTGGATTTTTCATCTCTGAACTATATAATCGAGTAACAAATACATTTCAACTATCGAAACTGGATAAATTTGGTCCTCCAATGGGTTTTAAATAAAGTTTTTTCTATTTTCTAAAAATAATAAAAATCTGGTTTAACATCCAAATTTGATATGAATTTATTTTAAATCAAAAATATGAAACTAGATCCAATTTTCTTATAAATATAACTTCCATGTGTTAATGCTCTATTTAGAGTTATTTGGATCTTATCTATTTTAAATAAACAATAAGCATGACTACAAGAAATAAAGTAATAGGAAAAAAACCAGTTCCAAATAAACAGGTATACAACATTTTTAGAAAAAAAAATGGTATTAGTTTCATATTTTTATGATTTAAAATAAGCTAATTATGAAATTTTAGAGATCAAGCCATATTTTAATCTTTTTTAGAATTTGGAAAACCATTTATGAAACCAGCCACATGATCAAATTTATCTAATTTCGACAGTTGAAGGTTGTCACCTGATTCGTAGTTTAGGGTTGACAACCATATTAAGGTTTGTCTTGGGAAAACATTCATTATGATGGCCATATATGTGTGCGTTGGGCTGAATGCATGTACTACTAGCTAGTTGCACCTCAAAAATTAATCTAAGACTGCAATTCACTTACATACGTTCCGGCAGCTTCTAGGTGAGGTTAATCTGCGGCTTCTAGGTGAGGTTAATCTGCAAAGAGTTAAATGCATGAGTGGCTTCTGAATTTGTCAAATGGTGTCACTTAGGTCCATGAACTTCAACAATGCGTTTCTGAGTCCCTAAACTTGTTAGCCTGTGCATCGCAGATCCATACCAGCCATGTGTGCATTACTTGCTGACATGTCATGCCAACATGGCATATATTTTTACACTTAACCCCTCTCCTCTCCTCTCGTTAATATATCCCTTCGCTCTCATCTCGTCTGCTTCAAAGACAACGGTGGGCAGGTGCATGACCATTTGCTGCCGCACGGCCTTGCCGCCGCGACTAGAACTCGAAGTTGATGCAATTTTCGTCGGCTTCGACGCGGACACTGGTGTTGCATTGTTGAAGTGCTACGCGCGGCGACGTCGAGGAAGTACATGCGTCGGGAAGTCGCAGCCGCCTATGGGCACGACGATGCAGTACTCCTCGCCGTAACGGCAGAACGTCAGCATCCCTCGCTACGGGCCGACCGAGGACATCTGGGAGCTGGGGTGCGTCATGGCCGAGCTCCCCACCGGCGCGCCGGCCCTGTTCACAGGGACACGGAGGGCCGATCAAACAGTGGAGCTGAGAGACGAAATCGTCACGATGGGAGTGGAGGCATTCGACTGCTGGTATGGCATGATGGAGCTGTCGTCGCTGGCCGGGTGTGAGTTGTTGCTTGCTGGCTCACGTTCAGCAGCGGCACGAGCAGACGCTGAACAGCGCCGCGACGGGATCCTGTGGTTCGGGTGCCTGGCGTTCGCGGCCATCGGCAGCGGCATGGCCATCATCCTTGGGAACGTGCAGCAGCGGTCAGAAAAGGTGTTTGTAGTGTCGATGGCGCGTCCGTCAGCTTCAAGCCTAATTCTTGCTAGTCACTCATCGTTGCATGGTCAATTGCTGTTGTATATATTGCTTCTGTCGCGTATTAATGGGCAGGTGCTCATCAACTGATAGAGCCACATTGCTTTCGCAGTTTCACTCCATGATACAATGCGTAGACACAAGCAAACATGCTAAGCAATCAAGAGTGGAGCCGTAGACATGAGAGCGGACGGGAACAAGGACCTCAACGCTCTGGTGCCTGGGCCTGGATGCGGCACGGTACATGGTGGCCGCCGTGGTGACCGTGCTCGTCCTCGCCGTCATCGTGTCGTTGCCTTGAGGATGATGCTCCGTGTACTAAGAATCCGCAGCAGGCGAACAAGGTGGTGATCTTGCAGCTCAACCTCCGGCCAGAGAACCCAGCGGTCGCGCCCACATGTACTTCCTCGACGTTGCGACCGCATGTACTTCCTCGACGTTACGTGTATTGTACAATGCGACACTGGTGTCCACGTCGAAGCCGAATGATGATTGCATCAACTTCGAGTCCCAGTCGGGCGCGACAGGCCGTGCTGCAGCAAATGGCCTACTTCGACGTTTGATCTGTTGTGCACGAGGCACGGCGGTGGCTGTGGCGGTTCCTGCCCATGGACGAGCCGCGAGAGCGCGAACGGGCACGGTGCGCGGGAGGTGGCTGGCGGGCATGATGGCAGCGGAGTGTGTTGCAATGTGCTGTTATTTTCTGTGTGCAGTGCCAGAGTTTGTTGTCCTTGTGGCCTTGCGCGTGCCCACCATTGTCGCTGAAGCAAAGAGCAAGAGAGAAGGGATACACTAATAAAAGAAGAGAGAAGATGAGGGGTTAAGTACAAAAATGCATGCCAGGTTGGTGTGACACATCAGCAACAAATGTACATGTGGCTTGTGTGGACCTGCAAGGCACAATTTAACAAGTTTAAGGAGCTAGAAATGTATTTTCAAAGTTCGTAGATCTAATTGGCACTCCCTGACAAGTTTAGGAACCCCTCGTGCATTTAACTCATCTGCAAATGCTTCTCGTTTTCACTTGAGATGGCGTTGGCAACGGCAGGCGCTAGTAATGATGGACCGGTAGCTAGCTGAGCTGCGACGACAAAGATGGGCAGGCGTGCGGCATTCAACGGCCCGTGACCGGAGTTACGACGGCGAGCGCATGCACGTTCATCTGCATCTTTCAGGAAGTCAAGCACAAGCACGCCGTGCATCATCTATCCTGGCTGCTGGCTGCTGGCCGATCGAAGCATGCAGCAGCCAGCCGGTCACGTCGCTCGCGTAGCAGTTATTACGTTAGGCAGTCACGAAGAAAGGCAGCTGCCGGAGTTTCCGGTTTGCCGATGCATTCAATCTGCAGATGGACCGGCCGGCCGGCGGCCGGAGGGCAGCTCAGCTCCACCCCAGCCCTATCTAGCAGCCCGGCTATCCCAAGCACAGGTTCGTGGATGTGGTTTGGGCCAGGGACAAGTGCGCTTTCTGGTGGTGTGAAGCGAGGCTAGGCCAAACCAGGCCAGCCACAAGTATTGATGATGGCTTCAACGACCGATGATGATCTCTCAACATGTGAAGTCTGGTAGGAGTAGCAATTATGTTGTTGTTTCATGCAACA